CAAGGTACTGGAGTGGCCATCACAAAACCCTGACCTCAGGCCAATAGAACATTTGTGGGCAGAACTGAAAAAGTGTGTAAGCAAGGAGGCCTACAAACCTGACTCAGTTCCACCAGTTCTGTCTGGACGAACGGACTAAACTTCCAGCAACTTATTGTTAGAAGCTTGTGGAAGGCATCCTGACATGTTTGACCCAAGTTAACCAATATAAAGACAATGCTACAAAATACTAACCGAGTGTATGTAAACCTCCACTGGGAATGTGATGAAAGAAATAAAAGCTGAGATAAATCTTTTCTTCTACTGTTATGCTGACATTTCGCATTCTTAAAATAAAGTAGTGATTCTAACTATCAGGCAATGTTTATAGGATTAAATGTCAGGAGCTGTGAAAAACTGAGTTTAAATGTATTTGGCTAAGGTGTATGTAAACTTCTGACTTCAACTGTAGGTTTCTCCTAGAAACCAGTGGAGTGGACACTGGGGATCGGGTAGAACTTGGAGATGCGGCTCTGGGTGGAGGGATTAAGGCACTCTGACTCTCCACTCATCTTGAAGAACACTTCCTGTTCCTGCAGCTTCCTGGCAAACTCTTCCTCCAGGGCCTGCAGGACACACAGGAAAACATGGCAGTTTCACAATGATAACTGACCCTATTGTTTGTCAGGCCTGGCTAATAGCCAGTGGCCTCCTGCATGCCTGGCATCAACATCTGTCTCTTAGAGTGTGCATAACAAAAAGAGGTTGTTTCCAAGTTTCCAAGTTCTTCCACATGTGTCCCCACAAACTCTGACCCACTACTCTATACTGACCCACAAAATGAGAGATCAGACAAGTACCTGTGCATGTGGCCTTGACTTGTAATCAGACCAGAAGAGTTGAGTCTTGGATCAATGGTTTAGGACATTTTACCTTCATGTTGATTGTGTCTATCCATCCGTTATCTACACCTGCTTACATTTTGGTGAGGTTGCGGGGGCTGGTCTCTATCCCAGCATGCATTTTGAAAAGGTACATGTTGGACAGGTTTCAGGTGTGTCACAGAGCCAACACATACCTTCTTTCTAGGTCGTAGTTTCTCCCTCCATTCCTTCAGCTCCAGGCTGTGCTCTTCATCCAGCTCCTTTAGCTTCTGGGTCTCATGTTCAATCAGCAAGTGACACTTCTCATTCTGAAACACACAAAGGGATTCAGAAACTCGTGTTGATAAGTGCATGAAACCCGAATCTGCTCCACTGTATCTTTACCTGCAGCTGCTGAAGTTCTCGGATGTTGGCGTCACACTGCAGCTGCAGGTCTCTCATCTGGTTTTCATGTTTCTGGTGCTGGTGGAGCCTTTCACTCTTCTGTCTCTTCTCTTCCTGAGCTGCAAACTGGAAACACAGAGACTTCAAAGGTTATTTTTCTTAGAAGTAATGTGGGCTCACGGTGTACTGTAGGGCTTTCCATCCACCACCATTCCATTTGGCTTCTCACCTGTTTGACCTTCTCCCTCTCCTGCTCGGGAGTGATGGCAGCTCCTGTGATGCGAAGGCTCTTCTTGAACATGGCCATGCGGGTCTTAGCTTCACTGCGCTGAATCTTCGGCAGTCTGCCTTTCTCCTGTGTCTGTCTGTTCTTCAACTCCTCGATTAGACGCTGGTTGTAGCGCTGCATCTGTTCCATCTCCTGTACAGGACAAACACCAGCAGACATGGAAGATGGAAGGGAGCTTCCAGAGCAACTTTGTTTGTGCTCAAGTATTTTGTAAGATATTTCTTAGAGCCAGTTTTTGACAGAAACCAAACAACTGAAGGTAATTCTGGGGCTGAAAGAAGATGTAACCAAACAGATGAAGTCCTCCATCTGGCCTGTACCTTCTCATGTCTCTTGAGCAGCTGGTGTCTCTGCATGAAGTACTGATCTTTGAGCTGCTGCTTGAATAGCTGGTGCTTCTCCTGCAGCTGGCGCTCTTCCAGCTCCCACATTGCAGCCTCCCGTGCTGTATGCAGACACACAAGAAAACAAAAGACAAGGTTAAATGATTGCACAGAAGAACCATTCAGAGAATTGCTGGAGGAGATCTGTCAACATTATGCCTCATTTCTGACCATTCTCCTTTTCTACATGGTGCAGTGGAGAGGAACAAGACATGCAGCAACAGTTGTGGGTTAAAGTCAGCTCATTAGGAGCAAATGGCGCAGTGCTTGAAATATCTATGTCAACCAACATAGCCTTTAGGCTATGAACCAGTCTCACACTTTCTATTGCCAGTGAAAGCTCTTTATAAGGTTCTGAAACAGTTCCCTGTACAAAAACCCATGACTTTTTTCCAAGCATATTAAGCATGGGATTAAGTCCCAGGCAGTAACAGGCTGCTCTTCACAGCAGACATGTCTGAAGGGGGCTGCAGTCTGCGTTAGAAGGATTGTGGTCTGAGAGTCTCCCACTGCCTCCAAAGACTGCTTGCTTATTGTTGATATGTCTTGCTACACATGATGATGTTTATGTTCAGAGCTGTAACATACTAAACTTCTTCCTACTCCATTCAAACATGTAATAGGTGTAAGCAAACTGATTTTGGATTAGTATTG